TTTTTTTAAATAAATAAATAAAATAAATCACGCAACGTTTTTATCTTTGCCACATAACAACCGGATTAACATCCTGAAACACCTTTTACATCACAAATGACCATCTTCCTCGAAGTATTCAACTTCCGTTAACCTATACGATTTTAAACATTTTGTTCAAGTCTATCGCCTCTGGTTTTATTCTTTAATTCCAATTTAAAACTAATACAGGGCAAGCAAAGCAAACCCAGCATGTTGGGTTATAAGAAATTGTGAAACAAAAATTAAACCCAGCAAATCAGTTCTAATCAAGCAAATTAAATACACAATTAACAATTAACAAAACGTCCAAAAAACCATAATTTCCAACTCTAAAAAACCACTGATTGGAACTGGAAGCTTATGTTTATGCAACCAATTTAAATCATTTTAACTCAACAATCTGTTATACAAAGATAACAGTGGCACGCTCAGACCCTTGTTAGTTTTGTTTGCGAGCCTCAAGGCCTACACCAAAAGCCCCACAATGGCACTTTTCAAACTAACTGTAAACTTATCTTGCAGCACACAAATCAACAAGAAATTGCCCGACAAGCAACAAACTGACATTCCCTCGGGGAGCTGTGTGAGGGGCCGGACCCATAAATCCTTGCCCGAACACCCCCTTTATTACCAATTAGATTTCGGTTGAATACTCACATTCCAACAGACCCCATTGCACCTCATGTTGATTGGAAGTTTGGAAGAGATCGGGCACCTAGCTAGAAGATCTTTTTCTTGAATCAAGTGCGAGAACAACACCATGAGCAGTAATATGCTGAGAGTGCATGGCTTGGTGGTGATAGGATTTTGATGTTGATGGTTCCCACATACTTATGTTGATTGGAAGTTTGGAAGAGATCGGGCAACTAGCTGGAAGATCTTTTTCTTGAATCAAGTGCGAAAACGACACCGTGCGGAGTAATCTGCGGCTGAGAGTGCATGGCTTGGTGCTGGTGGGGATTTTGAGGTTGATGGTTCCCACATAGGATACAAACAAAGTACCAAACCACATCTCGAAATTCTTTCTTCCATATTTTGCTAACTCAGTTGCTGATAATCGACGGTGTCTGGTTTTAGAAAGAAATGGAGACTCCGACACTTGCTTGGAAACCTTAAAAATAATGTAATCAAGTTGCAATTTTGTATTATATTATGCACGGACATTGTTGAAGTAGCAATCTTAATCACTACGATCTGCTGCATGTTTAGGTTGGAAAAATTCTGTGAACCCTTATTTTTTCAAATTTGAGGGAAGAGTTGGCTCTATACCATTTTTTGATCTAAGTCCATATCATTAATGTAATAATGAAATTACATGTTAGTTACATAATTTTTTAAAATAAAAATTAATAATTGATTTAGGATTTTAATACTCACACCTTTATTAAACTCCTAACTAAATTTTAATCCAAAACATTTCCAAATAAATAAAAAATTAGAATAAGTTTGTACCCTTAGCTTTTTAAAAAATGATTTCAATTTTTTAATCTTATATGTATCCATTCATGTAAATTTTTTTCAAATTTTTATTCTTAAAATGTACGCATTCTTAAATATTTAAAATATATGCATTCTTAAAATGTACGCATTCTTAAATATTCTTAAAATGTACGCATTCTTAAAATGTACGCATTATTTTTCTTTTATTTTGAGAATGTATCCATGTCAAGTTTTATCGAAGAAATTTACCAATGTTATTAAGTCTAATATCCATTATTATTATTTTTTGTGTGATTTTGAAGAATGTACCCATGTTTTGGTACAATAATTTTTTTTTTATTACACGCACACACAATAGTATAATTTAATTTAATCTCACAAATTATGGGTTTTTATTTAAAATCTCATTAACATAAACAACTATAAATTTCAATTTTTAATTTAAAATATATAGTAACATAAATAGAAATAAATTATTACATTAATTTCAGGGAAAACCAACAAGGTTATAGTAAAAAAATATTGATAAATAGAGACCGCATCCAAAGTCTCCTTTTAAAATTACTAATGCCAACAAAATTACTACTTGCACTTTACCCTTTTACTTAGTAATGGGGAAGTTCAAATTGCAGAAAAACCTGACGTTGAATTCATGGCATCTTAATAAGGTGAATTGCCTACAACTATTGTAATTGTTGAAAAATTATTGGCTGGCGTTGGAACACAATCGTGTGGTATAATCATTCCATGACGTGTTATAACATGGATGAACACAAGACCTAGGTTTTATTAGGGTCGATGAAGGAAATTGAAATTCTGCTGCAAAACCAATTAGCAATATGGGAAGTAATTGAACTCCTTATGTGACGGTCTTCCTCAATTTTAGATATACTCTCAACAACCAAACCTAATGGGGTTTCAACTGTAAACAAAAGTTGTCATTCTTTGTTAATGAAATTTCTGAAGGGATCACGGAGTGAATGTAAGCAAAATCAGCAGCTGAACCACTATAAAATGTTGCTTTTGCATTTGGTTGTTTATTTCCTTGAGGTTGATTGCGTGCGTAGTCATCATACTCCATCGACAACAAAATCCTTAGAACGGTATGTATACAACATGAATTAATTAAACTATGACTGTATTCCAATTAATACCAAATCTCGTGTTGGTTACATATAAAATCAATGTTTTCCACTCTATCAACAACCTTAAAATGGCATGCATACAACATGAATTAATTAAACCAATGACCGTATTCCAATACCAAATCATCTCACGTTGATTACATATAAATTCATTGTTTTCCACTCTATGAACAACCTTAAAAGAGCGTGTGTACAACATGAATTAATTAAACCACGACAATATTCCAATACCAAGTAACCTAATGAAGAACACTAGAAAGATCAATGAAACTCATGCTGTAAAGTCGCATTAATACTCATAGTCTTGTACCATCCAATTGTATTGTTTGCGATTGTAGGCCATTTGTTCGATTTGTGGCTGTGTTTTTGTGTTCTTTAATTTTACAAAAGCAAATTAAGAAACAGAAGAATTACAACACAAGGCACTGCATTCGTCAGTTGCATGAAAACAATGTGGGAGCAGCAGCGCTTGCAGTCATGACTCATGAATCATGTGCACTTCAAGTTTTCAACAAATGATATGCACTTTCCTGGAGTTAATTGGTGTGTCAGTCCAAGGTGTGGCCTATATGTTTTTAATTAAATCTTAATCACAAGCTTTTATAGCATTTTACAAATCAAAATCATTAAAACTGTTGGATTTCAAAGGTAATTTTATAAGGTAAATATCACAGTCGTTGTTGGACCACACATGATTTTTGTAAGCAAACTTATGTGGTACCCAGTCATCGCGGAATAAAAAATCGAAAGCAAACAATTCAAGGTTTGAGAAAAAATGGACTGCTAAATTCAACATGTTTAATCTGACTTTAAGCACCCATGAATATGAATGGCACCCCTTCCTCAAATTGCTGGTGGTGGTTGAATCATATGCTGTCCTCGTTTTACTACGATGTATGGAGGCTCTGTCTTTGTTGGTTTGCGACCCAACCCGAGGGTGCCTTACTAATCCAAGTAGCATAAGGCGTGCTTAATACGACCTCACATCTTGTAAACGGTGGTTTGTGAACAAATTTCAAACACCTTTACCCACCTAGCATAAGCTCACACTACCAGCTCGGCTGGAGACACTATCTTGTTATCGCGGGGAACACGCTCATGTTTCGATAACACTTTTTACGTAACTCATCATAAGATAATTTAATTACGTAATGAATGTTAGAGAAAAAAATCTAATCAAATAATAAGTCTTACAGAAGAAAAGAAAAAAAAATCTAGTCACGTGATCAATCTTGTAAATGTATGAATGTATTCGCCCGGGATGCCTATGTTTCCCCACAAAAATATGAATGGCCATCAACATATTTGAAGATGGAAACTATTTTTTTCAAAAGAAAAGGAGTCGGAAACTTTATTAGTCTAATTCATAAATGGTGGAGTGGTTGTACCACCCCTTTACTTGCAAAGAACTCTAATTCTGTATGTATGTGCTTTCCTCTTGTGACCAAACAACCAGCGAAGAAATAGCCACACACCCCACACAAATTCATAGCCAGATATTTTTTGTGGTGAAAAAAATTAAATGACTATGATATTTCAGAGAATGGTAGATTATTAAATAAGATAATCAAAATTTTATGTCACACAATAAAAACCACATATCTCAACAAGTGAAAGGTATCACTAAGACGGTCTTTCATATTCTCAAATAAATCACGCAACAATAGCTACGGGATTATTTAGTTGTTTGGGACGAATTTCAAACTTGTATTTGACACTGCACATCCTAAGTTCTATTTTCGATGCTGGTGAATCGAACAATGGTGTCCAGAGGAAGACTGAAATGCCTTTGTGAATCTTTTCGGCTCTTCCAGAACGGTCAAATATTGTGGTGAAGTCACCATCTAATCTCCTTTAAAAAAAAAAATAAATAAATAAATCACGCAACGTTTTTATTTTTGCCACATAACAATCGTATTAACATCCTGAAACACCTTTTACATAACAAATGACCATCTTCCTCGAAGTATTCAACTTCCGTTAACCTGTACGATTTTAAACATTTTGTTCAAGTTTGTCGCCTCTGGTTTGATTCTTTAATTCCAATTTAAAACTAATACAGGGCAAGCAAAGCAAACCCAGCACATTGGGTTATAAGAAATTGTGAAACAAAAATCGAACCCAGCAAATTATATTATATTATTTCTATACTAAAACCCAAACGCCGGTGTACTGTTCACGGACAGTGGAGTGACGAAAATGCCCTCCCGTTGGTTTTTTAGCAGGCTTTTTTCTCTTTGTTGCACAGTTAAATGACGGAATTGCCCTTCTAGGCCACGCGTGACTCCAATTCATTTGCCCAACCCACGTGTTGATCATCGTAGGCTTTTGCGTTTCCCCTATACTCTTCCCACTTTTACTTTTGCTTCCCATATGAGTCACTGCTTTTCGGTCACTATTACACCTCACTTTCTTTCCCTTTCAAACCCTTGCTTCCGTTGGTCGCGAATTTGTGTTCTGTCGCTCTCAAATCCCGCTTTTTATCGTTCTCGGCTCTTGGTTTGCTCAGAAAGCACCGAATCAGTGTAAGGTTGTTCAACTTTTCAGTTTTCTTTGGTTCAAAACTGCGGGTTTGATTTTGTTACATATAAAAATGTCAAAAGTTAAAGTGTTTGATTTTGTTATATATAAGAATATCAAATGTTAAATCTTTGTTTGTGTAAATTTTTTAACCGAGATCGTGTTATGGTTTTTGTTCATTGGCCTTTTTGAGATTTATGATTTGGTTTTTTTTGGTTGATTCGTTTGTTTTGCAGGTTCGTTTATACAGAGACAAGGACAACTTGGCCACTGCACCATTTATCGGCACTTGAGGGTAAGATTTAGCTGGTGAGGTGGTGGATTGCAAAGCTGTAATGAGATCTTAGCTTTATTTTTAATCAACGAATTTGGAAGCATCTTTATATGTTTAGTTTGCTATCTTCTGTTTCGGTTGGATTTTAGGCACTAGAAATTATGAGTTGTTTTGGGTATGGTTTCCTGCCTCTGCTGCTTCCTGATTCTGTCTCTGTTTGTTATTTGGTTTGCTAGAATTTGTGGTTTTGTCCGTAAATCTTGAAAATAATTTGGGCTAAGCAGAGGAACCAATTCAGGTCTCAGTCATGCTCCCTTCAATCGTAGTTTTATACAATACAAAAGCATTATAATTTAGAAAAATGTTAGTCGCTGTTTGTTAGCAAACTCTATGAGTTGGACTGCTTCCTAAACAGACAGTGAACCAGCTTAATTTTTCATTAAAATCACAAGCTTTGATATCTGAGTCTGCCATATTAGTATCATTCATTAGTTTTTAATCCCATTAATTATATTTTGAACATGTTTATTTTTCATACAACAATAGTTATAAACATGTGAATTCTTTTACATCTTAAAAAATAAGAAACTGATCGGGTTTCTGATTTTCCAAGTCTGGTTTATTCTGCATCAGGTACACTTCTGGGCATCATTACGGGTGTCAATTTCTTTAGAACTCATGGATAAGTAGTTTTGCGATATCAGTTGTTGGACTCGGTAAGTGAATTCAATTATAGTTTTCTTAGCTGAGTTGATATCTTATCCACTGCACTGTCCACCTTCTTTTCTTTTGAGAAGATTTGTTTTCTATTGAATAGATAATAAAAATAACTGGGGAAGGAAATTGAGAAAGAAAAAAAAAATCAGCTTTTCTTGGATATGTTTGTGGAGATTTTCTTTAGTATTCACTCCTTACGGTATGTTGTGGTTACACACAAATACAGATTTATGTCAATATTGTAGGGTTATAACACATCGGTTTTGGAAAGCTTCATTTTACGTTGCGAATTCTGAATTCTGTGTTTAATTTGCCTTTTGTGTTTTGCATTTGAATTTGTAGTCTGATTATGATGTCAATGCAGACTGTCTACTATCAATCAGACACTAGACTATGCCTTCAGTCAATTGAGAAAAGTCAGTTCATTTGCAGACTGCCTGGTTATGAGTTTACTTTTAACTATCTGGTAATTTGCAACCAAGTTTTCTTTTTCAACTTATGCTCGGTTTACTATTCTTCTGCAGCTTAATTTTTCACAGATTCAGTCTTCAGTAGATGGCTGAGGAATTTCCACATGCAGCACTGTATCAAATTATTATTGATCATAGGGTATGGCATTGTAAGATCATTTTCTACTCACTTTGATCAAATATTTATCGACTTTTTTTTTATTTTTTTATTTTTATAATTATGATTTATTTCTTATTTTGCCTCAAGTTTAGTTTACTTAAGCTTTGTTTATTATCTATGCAGTACGAAGAAGGCCTTATTAGTGTAATGAGAGAGTCCAATATCAACTGGACGGTAAGTGATCCATTCTTTTTGTTTTTTGTTTTTAATGCAATGTCCATACATATTGTAATTTTTACCATATGTTTGACCTTTGTTTTTAAATTAAAATCCACCAATTTGGTTGTGGTTTGTTCCATGATAATTGTATAAAGATGAACATGTTGTACATTACATAGTTTGGGAATTAGACTAAGCAATTTGATCAATCTGAGTAAATATATTTTAGCTTTTCTTACGTTTTAACTGTTAAGATAGAAAATTAATGGATCATTTACTTAAAACTCACAAATTATGAGTGTGTAATATATGCCCATATTGCTCCTAAATACTAATCAATCATTATAATTTGTTTTTGGAAAACTAAGTTTAATCCTGGATGGGAGGTAGGTAGGGATTAATTTTGAGAATCGTTACCTTATGAGGGTATTCACAGTTAATGGTGAAAGTTATTTTATTTTTTAAATTATCTCATGAATAAATCTGTTGAGGGAGATGATAGTTTTCTTAAAAATAGCATCAGAAGGGAAAATGGATATTGAATTTTTGGGTGGTTGTTTCTGCATTTGCATCTTTTTGATTTTTTCCTTTGCTGTGTGCTAACTCTGTTAGTGAAGTAACGTTTACAATTACTTTGGGCGGTTCTATACTAAACTGGAGGAAAAGATACATGCAAAGGAGATGGAGAAGAATAATTTGCAAGCCAAGTATGAGATGATATTCCAATAGTGTGGAAGAAAAGAGCACCATCGCCACAAAAGCCGGCTTTTCGTGGGAAGATTCGACAGGGAAAATGTGTGAGAACCAAAGAATCTTTGTTTTGTTGTATCCTTTTTAGTTTGATTGATATCTGATTGATTCCGTAAACCCAAAAATGAAATCTAATTATTTCTATGTTTTGATGGGTGGAAATGGTCAGGATTTCAACTGCGTTGGAGCATAAGAGGAAGAGAGATGAGGTAGACCCGATATCGTGGTGTTCAGTAACTCAGCTGGTAAGTTTTGGCATTTGAAAATTTAGTTGTTTTTGTTGCTGGTTATATTTATTTGTCAAAGTAATGATTTTGGTTTCATGGTCAAGGTTTTATGAGTATGACCATGATGGATCAAAAGCTAGGGATCTTGAATTGGCAATTGGAATTAAAGTCTTAATACATGGTAAGTTTTTATTTTTTATTTTTTTTTATATTTCTACTGCAAAGTTTTTGATTTTCTCATTTTTTTTATACACCAAATTCCATTTGAAAAGAGTAGGTTGGTTAAATACAAGTTTTCCATACGAATTAGAGGACTTATGTAGTGCTGATGTGGGTATTTTGATCTTCCGTTATAGAAGTGAAGAAACCGGCTGGATTAATCATCTTATTTTGATCAAATTTTGCAGTATAGATGATATAAGAATCACAATTGCATATGGGAACTGAATCATCATGACATTGGAATTCAAGTTTCTGTTTCTATCAATGCAGGCTATTGCTAATCACCAAATGAATTATGTTTGTTGAAATTTTTGGAATAATATTTTTCTAAAGCCTGATTACTTAAACCTTGCTGAAAAACAGTTGCACATGAAATCATTCACTTTACATGTACAATTACACTTAACTCAGCCAATAACTTTAACAATTTTGCTGATTTTGACCATGCTATTTAACGGATCTGCCAATTGACTTTCTTCTTTACACTTTCTTCTTTAGTGATCATGAAGTTCAGTGGCAAATTGACAGAATAGTCTTTTGAATTGATTAACCATCTACTTAAAGATGCATTAACAAACGTCTGCACGCACATGCATTTAGGTTGAAGCAAACTATGTTATCACATGATTGAAATCATCTATTTACATCGATAAACTTTTAATTAGCACATGATTGATATGGGTATATAGACCCAACATCTTTAGCTATATGTTATAGTTTGACATAAAAATTGAATGTATCCGTTTTAAATCTTTCAACCATGTTATTCAACTGATACCATAAACTGCCATATTTTTTAAACTCTGTGGAAAGGAATTGACATGCAACATGATCAAAATGACTCTATAAATTGCTTATAAAATATCTTTTCAAATACATAAGCAAAAAGAGGGATGGTTCTCACCATGTCTTTACCATTGTCCCATTTTTTAGCTATTATAAAATCTATGAATTGCTAATGGGTTTACCTTTTTCATGGAATTTTCAGAATTTTGGGTCGTTGGAGGAAGAATTTGGCTGCTTGACATTTTGAGGTATATACTTTTGTTTTGATTTCTTCAGTTAGATAGTTATTTTACACCAATGCTTTTGTTTCTATTTGGGTTTTTGAAAGTTTACGGATGTTGCTAAATCATGATAATATTTATCCAAATAGAGGTTAAGTCAATTTGATAATATCATGATAATTGATGGTTATGAAACGTTAATATAATAAATTGATGCTTTGGTTGGTCTAGAATGGTGGTTCACCCAAGACACTCATGATAATACGTGGAAATCCTATTGCATAAAGATAGAAAATCATATGAACATTCAGATAGTTGCTTTACAGGCATGATTGCCCTTCATTTTCAAGTTTTTTGAAGTTAAAAAAAAAAAAAAAAAACTACATTGACCAAGAAAAAGAATTTATATGACTATAATTGTTTGAAACCGATAAGTACGTAATTTATATTCTTATTTGAGCAATGGAGTTCTCATAAGATGAAATTAATTGACCTAATTATGTGCGAACCTCCAATTAAATGAATGAAATATTCGATGTGGATCGAAACCGAAACCGAAACCAAAACCAAAATGAAACAAACAACAACTGCCCAAGTTTTTAAAAGTGTAATTTGGATTTATAAATAGATTTTTTGTTCAAATTTTGTTATTGTGCTTTTGGAGAAACTCTTTCTTTAATCTACTTATGCTGTGGGATTTCAAAGTTGAAAACCATTTGCTTTCAATCTTTTGGAACAAATTAGCTTTGGTAGGTAACAGAACAGATAAATTTCTGGAGGATATAAAAATGTTTGCTTTGCTGAGATTGTTCTGTTTAAATTAATCAATTTTATAGTGCACTTTGAAACCTAAGTCATCGATCTGTTAGTTTCAATTTAAACACTTTTGGAAACTTAGAGATACATTTATTAGTTCAATTAATTAATTCCTACTAAGATTCTTGCAAAACGCTTTTGTTATGCTGTAGTTAAAACACTTTTTAAGGTTGTAAATAGATTTTCACATGATGTAAATAAGATTGTTTTAATGATTTGGAGAATATGGAGAAAAGTCATTCCAAACTTAAAATTCAATGGTAGTTTATTGGTGTAAATTATGTTACTCATTATTTTTTCTGTCATTTTTTAGAGTGCTTAAATTTTGACTGTTGTTTAACTTGGATAAAGCTCAAGGCTTATAACTAAGTTTGCTATTTATTTTGTTTGATGCATTTCCAGTCTTTGTACCTGACACAACTACATCACCTCCAAAGTTGCAGACAAGGATTGCAAGGTTTTTTCTATCCTTTGGTATTCATTGATTGAGTTTGTTTGCAGTTGAAAATGTTGTCTTAGTTAAGACTTAAGGAGAACATCATATTTACAAAATATACTCGAATGTGTTGTTCATTGTTTCTGATGTTAATCGTTTTTTTTTTATCAAATTTAAAAACTCTGGTTTGTATTTTTTAATATTGTTTTAGCATTTTGGCCTAATGGGTTTGGTTGCATCTAATAGCAAACCCTTCATTTTCTCATGATTTAGTAATTCACTAAGTAATTATGTTTAGACATACTCTAATTATTTTTTTTTCCATCATGTGTTAATATAGCTGAAAATAAAAAATCAGCTGATTATATTAGATTAAACTTTGGCAGTCGTTCAAACATAATTATTCCTGCAATTTATAATCCCGCAGCAACGAACGGGCATTATTATCTAGTATATACTAAACGCCTAACTTTCTATTTAATTCCCTTTGTGTCCTTTTCACTGTTCCTTCACCAGTGTTGTTCCAATTTTGCCCTTCAGCTGTTCCTTAAGTCTTACTTTTTTGTCAATTACACAGTAAAATGACGGTTTTGACCCTGGATTGCCAATAGAAGTCTCTCGACTCCTTCATCAGAAACGAAATCCAAAAAGGAAAAACTGTGCTCTGCAACACGATTGACGATTTCGATTCCGCTTTGTGGATGCCTCTGGAACTCTCCAGTCCTGCGACCGTTCATCATATCGCTGGACCTTCCACTTCTAGTGCATCTTCATGGTTTTTCCATCCGTTCCCTCTCTCTTTCTCAAATTTCTGCTTCCGCCGTTCTCAAACTCGCCTCTCTCACTCTCAAGCGTTCAGTCTCTCTCGCTCTCAAACGTTGCCGATCCATTGAAACCCATATTCCTTTCCTCAAAATCCAAGGTACGGACTTCATGCAGCACTAAGTTTTTGGGATTTTTTTTATATTTTAGTTTTGGATCGTAATTTTTTGCTCGGTAGCTGAGAAAATGTGATTCCGTGTTTTAGTTTTGGTGTTTTTGTGATTTTGGGTTCGTAGGTTTTTCAAAATTTGGATGTTTGTAGGTTGCAAAACCCTCTGTTCTCAAGGTAAGTAATTTAAAATTCTGGGGTTATTCTATTGAAAGTTTCAATTTATAGTTTAGTTTAGTTTTTTTATAATCAGAGTTGAGTTGGTATTTTGTTTGTGTTTGATTATATTGAAATCAGAGTTTCAGAGGACTTCTGTTTGGGTTTGATATTTCCCCACGATGTATAAAATGAGGGAGGGCAAAGCATTTAACACACCAGATTATATTGGCTGTTTTTGTTATTTCATGCTACGTATTGTAATTGGGAGAAGTAAAGAACATGTATGCTTTTAGCACCACCACCTAGATTGGATTCCAATGAGCTGTATCTGAAGAAACATCTGAAAAATTCAAAGGTATGCATAGTAGTCAGTTGCATTTGTGTTTTGCAGCTCATGGAATGCTCTTTGCAAGCTTAGATTCAGCTCATGAAAGTTCTTATTGCTGTGGTTGTGTTGTGGTTGCAGCTTATGGAATGATTTTTAAAAAATCAGGCCATAATCAGTTTGTACAGGAATACCAGGAAATCAGGGATTAGGATTAATCTCCCTGTTAACATGTGGCCAGTAACATGTCCAGGGCAAGCTTTGAATGCACCTAATGACTTGCCTAAGAATGTCACATGGACATTGAATCAGGGCTCAATTCCCATGAGCATGGATTTTCATCCTTCACAGCAGACTCTGCTTCTTGGGTTGTATTTTTTAAGTAGCTCCTTATATTTATTTGTGTACCTTCGGCTCTACAGTTTTTCCCTAGGTGCTTGCTGCTCATAATTGACTGTTGATTGTTCTCTGTATATACTTCAGTTGGTACCAATATGGGGGACATAGGGCTGTGGGAAGTTGGATCTAGGAAGATCCTCTGTATGGTAGTTAATAGATAACTTTTCTATTTGAAAGTTCTTATTGTTGTGGTTGCTGTGTCTTTACGTAGATTAATTAAAAATTAGAGGTGGTTAAAAATTCGAAATTTTATTGATGCATGTTTTCTTCTTTCTTCCCAGCTATCAATTTGTTGTCTGAGGAGAATAGCTGAATAGATCAGATAGGACATGAAGAAAATCATTTTGGTAACAAAGAAGAAAGAAGAGTGAAGTAATGAGATATGAAGAGAACTTTGCCGCTAAGATTAAAATAGAGATTGTAGTGAGCAAAGTCTAGGTATGAAGAGTCTGAGTTACATAATTGTTAATGGCTTTGTACCTTTCTAATTTTGTAAACCGTTAATACTATCTTAAAATTTAAATTATGAATCCTTATAATTGAAATGTCAATGATTCGAAGCTCATGACTGAATTATTACAGTTCTGTAAGATTTATTGATTACTTTTTTTCGAACTGTCTCTCTCAGCGGAATCACCGCCATCAACAGCTATGGCTGCGCAGTTCGTCGTCGTCCAGTATTCCTCCAAAATTCCACTATCTCTCTTTGCTCTCTCCTATTCAGTGCGTCTCTATTCTTTCGGGTCCACCAATATCTATATCCCAAACGACTCTTTATATGTATCCATTTGTTAGAGAAAGCTTTTGCCTTTTGGGTTCAATTTTATCTGCTGTCTGCATTGGATTTGATGTCTTCTTGGTACTTATTTTTTTTATCCAGCAATCGAGCTTGCATTATCACTTGAGAAATTAGCAAATGAAAGCTGCTTCACTTGCACACTGTAAAACATTCATTGTTATTGTATGATGTCTTTTTAATATAAGATGATTAGGCTTAGGTGATTATAATTTGTACCATCGATGGGTTCTTGTTGCGAATTAACAATCTTACTATACTATGTTCATCCTTGAATTTACGACTAACAGGTTGCTGAGAAGAACAAAGATGTGCAATTAATAGATTTTGTTGAAATCGAGTTTTTGGCTGAGCAGGTCAGTCTTGATCTCTTCCCTTATTTTTCATCAGTTGGAAAGGTTCTACAGGGACGCTTGCATGATTTTTGATGTTCTGCTTTTACCTTTGTAGGTGGAAGCCTATCAGGAAAATATCTGAATATTTTGCTCAACTAAGGACACTTCACAAAGGGCACGGTAGGAACCCATAATTCAATTTCATTGACATCTTTATCATATGTTTAGTGTTCATCTTTTGAATATAACATTACTTATCTGATTTCATTTTCTGTTCCTTACTTGAGTTTCTCAAAACCTAATGCAAACAACTAATATGGCTAAAATTAGTCCCTCATGTATTTTCCTCATCTGAATTGGGGCTTTTAAAGTTTATCAAGAAATTTGATCTGGGATTCTGAATTTTTTTTTTTACAACTCAGAAATTTGTGGAGTTATTCTTAGGTTTTATCAAGAAGTTTGATCTAGGTTTCATATATTTTGTGACTCACATTGTTTTTTAGCATTTTTTTTCTGTGCAATGAAAGATTTCTGCTTTCTTTTGATTTATGGGCCTGCATCAAGCGTCTGCCTTTCTATATTGATGATATACTGATGGAAATGAGTTTCTTGCCAAGGCTCACAAGGCACTGAAATGCCCCTGCAAAGCCGACTTACAAAGTGGGCCCTATGGACTTAAGTTTTCAGAGGCTTTTCTCTGTTATCTTAAAAGCACAGTGGAAGAAAAGGGATCAGGCTGTGTCCATCCATTTGTAGTTTTGCAGAATTGTATTAAAGTTAATCCTTCTAAAGACAATTTAGAAGAGGATGCGATTAACAAAGATGACGACTACACCACTTTTGCTCTTTTCCTTTTCTTATAACAAACAATGACCATTGAGTTTTTTTCTCTTTTTTTCTCTTTGAAAAATAAAGTTGGCCTGTCAATGAAAAAAAAAAGATCCGGATTGTCAGTCATTTATATATTTTCCTTTAACCACTAAGAACAACAAAAAAAAAGTGATCTTTATTGTTTTGTTAGTGTGAAATGGTATCTTTAGATTTTCATGAAGTTGTGTTTTGCTTCCATGACTCAGAGGGTGGATATGGCAGCGGACAAGGACAGGCAAGTAAATTGGTCTCACTATCTGCCATTTTGGCTTAGCCAGTGTCCATATATCTTTGTTTAACTCAGTTAATGTTAGTTGTGATAGCTTGACTAGGCTTATACAACATTACTTATCTACTCTATTCTATAGTGCTTTGCATTCTTTTCCTTACAATTGATAGCGTGTTCTTTGATTTACAATTGACAGCGCGTTCTTTGATTTCCCAGATGCCACATCTTGCAACGACTTATGCTGCAATTAATGCACTTATAACTCCTTGGTGGTGAGGCAAACTCTACAAATTTTTGCAGCAAATGAAACTTCCAAGCGGCGGTTTCAGGTTAGATGTCACATTCCTTTGTGTGGTTCTATAGTTTGAGGACATATATGTACAAGGATCATATCATTACCTTTAATATACTTTTACCATGAATTACTTCTTGAATGCATGATGGTGGAGAAATTGATGTCCGGCCTTGCTACACTGTGGTTTCTGTTAGTCTTTCTCTGTTCTGTTTGTTTCTGTTAGCCTCTCTGTCTATCACGCTTAAATGGTGGAGAAATTTACTTCTGTTATTCATCTATTTTGAGGAAAATTGACGACACAATCATTTTATCTATTTTGATGGGTCCATTTTGATAAAAATGGGATTGCTGAAGCTAAGAAAGCTACTGATGCCATATGCTATCGCTAATTTTTTGTGTTTGATTTGTGATTTTGAAAATAGTGGTTATTTCTAAGTGTGTGTTACTGTTTGGTTTAAGGCTTCTAAATCTAAGGTAGCTGCTGAGAATGGCCCAACTGCTGCTACAAAGAAGAAAGAAGTCTCAGCTGAAAGCTCAGATGAGAGTAGCGATGATTCGGAAGATGATGATTTGAGTTTTTGGTTTTCCAACCTGGTGCCATAATTTTTTTTTCCGTTGGGGTTGTTGCATGGGACATTCACCTGAAGATTGAGTCACTCATATCTGTATATTTGGGATACATTGTGTTGTGTATTTATTCTTTGTTAGATTGAGAAAGATACCTTTTGGTCGATAGTGATCCTCAACCTTTGTGTTCACAGGAAACCCCTGCAAAGGTTACTGCGCAAAAAGCCTGCTCAATTGCAAAGAAAGGCTCATCAGTGGCTGTTAAAAAGGCAGACACTAGCAGCTATGGATCTGAAAAGAGCTCTGAATCTGAAGATGAGGTGTGTGCTCATGCTTAAATATTTGTATCACCTGAAGGATGTTCCTTTGATGATTGTTGAATCCTAATCTTTCTGAGCATGGTTAGGAAGTTATGAAAAAAGTAGAAAGGATGTTCCCTTGATGATTGTTCAGAGAAGAATTCTGGTGATAGTTCATAGGAAGTGAAGGTTTATGTTTTTTTTAAATTCCTGTTGGAATGTGTTGCAATAATATCAGTCTTTGTGAGATCAAATGAATAACACCTGCCTCTATGCCTCTTTCTACATGTTTTATACAGTTTCAAAACCCGCAGCACCGTGCGGGCAAGCTTGCTAGTCAGTTCTAATCAAGCAAATTAAACACACAATTAACAATTAACAAAATGTCCAAAAAACCATAATTTCCAACTCTGAAAAACCACCGATTGGAACTGGAAGCTTGTGTTTATGCAACCAATTTAAATCACTTTAACTCAACAATCTGTTATACAAAAATAACAGTGGCACGCTCAGACTTTTGTTAGTTTTGATTGCAAACTTCAAGGCCTACACCAAAGGCCCCATAAAGGCATTTTTCAAATTAATTGTAAACTTATCTTGCAGCACACAAAGCAACAAGAAATTGCCCGACAAGCAACAAACTACCATTCCCTCAGGGAGCTGTGCAAGGGGCCGGACCCATAAGTCCTTGCCCGAACACCCCCCTTATTACCAATTAGATTTCGGTTGAATACTCACGTTCCAACATACCCCATTGCACCTCATGTTGATTGGAAGTTTGGAAGAGATCGGGCAACTAGCTGGAAGATCTTTTTCTTGAATCAAGTGCGAGAACGACACCATGAGGAGTAGTATGCGGCTGAGAGTGCATGGCTTGGTGGTGGTGGGGATTTTGATGTTGATGGTTCCCACATACTTATGTTGATTGGAAGTTTGGAAGAGATTGGGCAACTAGCTGGAAGATCTTTTTCTTGAATCAAGTGCGAGAACGACATCGAGCGGAGTAGTCTGCGGCTGAGAGTGCATGGCTTGGTGCTAGTGGGGATTTTGAGGTTGATGGTTCCCACATAGGATGCAAACAAAGTACCAAACCACATCTCGAAATTCTTTCTTCCATATTTTGCTGACTCAGTTGCTGATAATTAACGGTGTCTGGTTTTAGAGAGAAATGGAGACTCCGACACTTGTTGGAAACCTTAAAAATAATGTAATCAAGTTGCAATTTTGTATTATATTATGCACGAACATTGTTGAAGTAGCAATCTTAATCACTACGATCTGCTACATGTATTGCTACACTAATTTAGGTTGGAAAAATTCTTTGAACCCATATTTTTTCAAATTTGAGGGAAGAGTTGGTTTTATACCATTTTTTGATCTAAGTCCCTAGCATTAATGTAATAATGAATTTACATGTTAATTACATAATTTTTTAAAATAAAAATTAATAATTGATTTAGGATTTTAATACTCACACCTTTATTAAACTCCTAACTAATTTTTAATCCAAAACATTTCCCAAATAAATAGAAAATTAGAATAAGTTTGTACGCATTAGCTTTTTAAAAAATGTTTTCAATTTTTTAATCTTATATGTACCCATTTGACACACCTCGACCCGGAATGTCCTCTAGAACTCCAAATCAAGCTGTGCTGACCGACACCTGGAAGGTGACGAAGCCATAGAATGTGATAATGTTTAAAATGTGAATAAATTTGAAACTAAAAGTGCCTATATACACAAGTGCACGGTGAGTGGGTATAAACCCATTTCACACGTGATACAAAGCATAAGAAAAGTACTGTGAGGTAAGATAATAATTATACCATCATAAGGAACCACCTGAATTGGGAGTGCCACAAGTCCTCGTCGATACGGAACTTTGCTACTAGAACCTGGAGGGGTGCAAAATAGAAAGTGTGAGCTGGCAAACAAAGATTTTCAAAATCATTTCAATTATCAAAGGTAGTAACCCCTCGCCGTAAAACCTATAGTTTCCAGAAAATCATACCACGTAAAAGTATGAAATCAAATGTCTACTAATAGTAAATCCAGAAGTATACCACTACTCAGCATCTCATTCGCAATATAAATAATCATGTGCTTAATAACCCATACTAGCACGCAAGCCGGAATCACCTATGGTGACTTGTACGACTGCACCCATATCTTATCAACCAATGCTAGCACATAAGTCGGAGTCACCTATAGTGACCTGTACGACTTATCCATATCTGATCAATCAGTGCTAGCACATAAGTCAGAGTCACCTATAGTGATCTGTACGACTTATCCATATCTCATCAATCAATTCTAGCACATAAGTCGGAATCACCTATAGTGACATGTACGACTTATCCATGAAAAGTAATATGTCAGCCGGATTCACCTCTTGTGGCCTGTACGGATGAACCCATAGCTCATCACATATCTATGCACACGGGTCGGAACCACCTCTAGTGGTCTGTACAACAGGACTAGGTGTAAATAAGTACGCTCAGTGCTACAATCACGTGAAGACTGTGCGAATAATCGCGGGTGACCTACAAGTTGGAATCACCTATAATGGTCTGTACGACAGGACTGTGCACCTACCTTGGATCCAAGGTGTGCGTAAGGTGCAAGAGGTGAACATCAAGTGAAGGACTGTACCCTGGCCACGGGCGGGAGTACTAACACTGGGGTGCAGGTTTATGAGCTCTAACTGTATCTATTGTAACATATACGACTTATGGGCAACATGTACGACAGTGTCGGAGTTACCTATCATTGCAACCTATATGACAAGGTCGGAGTTGCATAAAACATACATGTAGTCATGCCATAACTCCATCATTTCAACTAATACCATAAACTCACCTAAACTTACCTGGGTATCCTGCGTTCACCTTTGCACTTCAAAGCGTTCACAATAATTATGTGCAAGTAATATACATATGGATATACCATGATGCAATCGAATACTCAACCATGACATCGCATTTTCAATTATATATATATATAATATGGCATAAAAATGCATAAGCCGTAACGCCCTACTCCTGAACTATTTATTTTCAGAAATAATTATCGGTGATAAGCCCAACTAGACACTAGTTTAATTAACTATCATTACTTACGTTTCCTTACTTCAAATTCTTGATTCTTCAAACATTGATTTATGACCAACATTTAACCACCAAATCATAAGGTTAAATCTCACATTTTCCACCATTGTCCCTCACATTACTCAATTCCCTAAATAAGGCTATTGTCTTAATTATTTAATCTCACTTCTTATATGGCTGCATCTAATGTCTCGTTAGACTGCATATGTACCCTAAACAGGGATCAAGTCATTCATAGTTCACATTAGTACTTCAAAGCATTCATAGTAATCATAAGCAATAATCAATTTATATACACACGATAGAAAGGAAAAGATCCACTCACCTGAGGTCCGCACTATGACTCCCTAGCACGCATATCAAGACATCACGAACCAATGTTGCCTGTGGCTAAGTCCAATTCGGCTGGGAAAAGCCCTAAATTCACTCAAACCCGCCAGAAACCCTTAGATGGGTGTTCTTCGATTCGACTTCCTCGATGTTCCAACGCCCCTGCAACTAATTGGGTCTTGTTTCTAGGTCCAAGGGGAGTTGATAAGAGTGATGGTGAATGGTGATACTCACTGGAATGACGAAACACCGACGAGAACCCCCGAGTTCTCCTGTGGAGTTCTACCTGAAATAGGCCATAAAACCCTTGATTTTTGGGCATAAATGGTAGATGGAAGGTGGTGCAAGAAGTTACAGGTGAAGGATGGATGAAACTCGCCTGAAAAAAAATGGTGGAATTGGCCAGCATTAACCCGGGTCGAAATCGGGTTAGTGGTGCACGAGTTGACGAAATGAAGGGAAAAGTTTCAGCTTCTCTCTCCCTTCTTAAGGTCCTTTTCCTCTCTCTAAAAATCTGATTGGTCCCCTTTATTTTAACTAATTTAACCTTTAACCCACATGTGGAAATTAAATAATTCCCACAATCTATAGTTTTACAACTTCAAACGTCCGTAACTATACCGATATAATTCGGACTCGCAAACGACTTTCGCCTACGCGTTCGTACCAATGAGTACTACACAAATGCGCTAAGCGAATAAGTCAAACGTTTCTCTACACGTTGGTCAAAGAAAGTCAAAACCTTTACCTCTAGGGCATTGGGCATAAATTCATTCTTTTAAAATTTATAAAATCGTAGAACTAGGGACGGGCTATCACACATTCATGTAAATTTTTTCAAATTTTTAATCTTAAAATGTACCCATTCTTAAATGTACCAATTTGTTATATACATAATCTATTCAATTTTTTTCTAATCCATTTTTAAACTTCTATGGATACATTATTTTTCTTTGATTTTGAGAATGTAATCATGTCAAGTTTTATCGAAGAAGTGTACTAATGTTATTAAGCCTAATATCTATTATTATTATTATTATTTGTGTTGTTTTGAAGAATGTACCCATGTTTTGGTATAATAATTTTTTTTTTAATACACGCCCACACACAATAGTATACTTTAATTTTATATTTTAATTTAATCCCACAAATTATGGGGTTTTATTTAAAATCTCATTAACATAAACAACTATAAACTTTAATTTTTAATTTAAAATATATAGTAACATATATCACATTAATTTCAGGGAGAACCAACAAGGTTTTAGTAAAACAATATTGATAAATAGGAACCGCATCCAAAGTCTCCCTTTAAAATTACTAATGCCAATAAAATTACTACTTGCACTTTACCCTTTTACTTAGTATTGGGGAAGTTCAAATTTAAGAAAAACCTAACGTTGAATTCATGGCATCTTAATAAGGTGAATTGCCTACAACTGTTGTAATTGTTGAAAAATTATTGGCTCGCGTTGGAACACAATTGTGTGGTATAATCATTTCACGACGTGTTATAATATGGATGAACACAAGACCTAGGTTTTATTAGGGTCGATGAAGGAAATTGAAATTCTGCTACAAAACCAAATAGCAATATAGGGAGTAACTGAACTCCTTATGTGACGATCTTCCTCAATTTTGGATATACTCTCAACAACCAAACCTAATGGGGTTTCAACTGTAAACAAAAGTTGTCATTCTTTGTTAATGAAGTTTCTGAAGGGATCACATAGTGAATGTAAGCAAAATCAGTAGCTGAACCACTATAAATTGTTGCTTTTGCATGTGGTTGTTTATTTCCTTGAGGTTGATTGCGTGCGTAGTCATCATACTCCATCGACAACAAAATCCTTAGAACGGCATATATACAACATGAATTAATTAAACTATGACTGTATTCCAATTAATACCAAATAATCTCGTGTTGATTACATATAAAATTATTGTTTTCCACTCTATCAACAACCTTAAAATGGCATGCATACAACATGAATTAATTAAACCAATGACCGTATTCCAATACAAAATCATATCATGTTGATTACATATAAATTCACTGTTTTCCACTCTATCAACAACCTTAAAAGAGCGTCTATACAATATGAATTAATTAAACCACGACTGTATTCCAATACCAAGTAACCTAGTGAAGAACACTAGAAAGATAATGAAACTCATGCTGTAAAGTCGCATTAATACTCATAGTCTCGTACCATCCACTTGTATTGCTTGCGATTGTAGGCCATTTGTTCGATTTGTGGCTATGTTTTTTGTGTTCTTTAATTTTACAAAAGCAAATTAAGAAACAGGAGAATTACAACACAAGGCACTGCATTCGTCAGTTGCATGAAAACGATGTGGGAGCAGCAGCGCATGCAATCATCACTCATGACTCACGTTCACCTCAAGTTTTCAACAAATGATATGCACTTTCCTGGAGTTAATTGGTGTGTCAGTCCAAGGTGTGGCCTATATGTTTTTAATTAAATCTTAATCACAAGCTTTTTATAGCATTTTACAGATCAAAGTCATCAAAACTATTGGATTACAAAGGTAATTTTATAAGGTAAATATCACAGTCGTTGGACCACACATGATTTTTGTAAACAAACTTATGTGGTGCCCAGTCATCGCAGAATAAAAAATAGAAAGCAAACAATTCAAGGTTTGAGAAAAAATGGACTGCTAAATTCATCATGTTTAATCTGACTTTAAGCACCCACGAATATGAATGGCACCCCTTCCTCAAATTGCTGGTGGTTGTTGAATCATATGCTGTCCTCGTTTTACCACGATGTATGGAAGATCTATCTTTGTTGGCTTGCTACCCAACCCGTACAGAGTGGGGTGCCTTACTAATCCGAGTAGCATAAGGCATGCTTAATACAACCTCACATCCTGTAAACGATGGTTTGTGAACAAATTT